GGAGCAGCAATGTGCCAGCCCCTAGCTGATTCAGAAATGACAACTAAGGAGCAAGCAGACTATGCTTCATGTAAAATCCAATTGTAGTGCCATCATTATAAGGAAGATTTGAGAGCTCTGCTGTCTTTTCAGTAGCTATCGCTGCCTCTGTCAAGGGCTTCATCTGAATTCAGAACATATAACTTTATTTCCTTATAATGTCTAATGATGATTCATGGTTTTTGCTTTCCCCTGTCTTCGATTCCAACAATGCATGCTTTTATACCTGCTGTCTTAAATCCTTCTATTCGCTGTTCAGGACAACTTCTAAAGCAAGCACACTCAGCCTTCCAAAGGGAATTCAAAAGCTCCTGAGGATTGTTCCTTTTTTTAATACTGTCCCATGCTGTTTCAGCTATTCTGCCATTTTCTAGATTATAATTACTATTGTCATTGCTGACACAAGACATCTACTTGGGGAGTGCTCCAGAGAGAAGTGAGCTGCACCTCCTCACTCCCCTGAGTCCAGAAGGACAGATCCTTCTAATCTCTGCTGGTCCCAAAAGCAGGAGGCTTCTGGCTGTTCTTTAACCCTGACCTCTCGCCTTGCAGTAGATAAAGCTGAAGTCAAGTCACTGAGCTAACAGTTTATAAAATGTATTACCTTCTATTACCAAATTTTAAAAGCCTGAAGCAACTTTCTGAATTTTAGCACTGATGTTAGTTGTAACTTTTTTTTTAAAATATAGCTACTGATGGTTATTTCAAGTGACTTAACACATTTATTTTTATAAAGGCAGCTGGTACTATCTGCTTTCTCTGTCTCTCTCTTCCAGAACAGTGAGTTAGTGCTTACTTTTAACTGTGTTGGCTTTTGCTGAAATTATTTAAGACCCTCTCTCCTTTTTAATTTTTGAAACTACTGGGATGACACACCTAATATAGTCGCTTTATCTTTCTGAAAATAAGTTTATAAGACTGTGGCTTTGATTTTATTTCAAGCTGTTGCTGCTTTCCTCTGATAGGGAAAACCCACACTGATGCCACATTGTTTGGAAAAAATGGCAAAAATGCCTTCAGAAGGATGCTCAGAAGAAGAAGAGCTACATAAATGACACATCAGCCATTTGTACTCAGAGACTGGCTATGCCTCGTGCATACAACGTGCACACCGATGGATACAAAGGGAAAAAAAGAGAGTATGCTTTGGGTGAAAACCAGTATTTTTCACTGAATGAATTTTGTTCCACTGATTTGTAGGGGTGAATTGATTATATATTCCTTCACAAGCTAGGTCTTTGTAGGAATATCCTGTGCTGGCACCATGCGATGACAGAACTGCTACAGACTTGAAAGGACCTTCAGCACTTTTTATTGCATGGTTAACAAGAACAGACAAGTTTCCTGCCCAGTCCCAAGAAATAGGCTACTACTTCAAAACCTTTCTCTGCAACTACATGGGAGCAGGGAGGATCTTCTTTGGTCTAGACCCGATGAACTAGTATAGCTCACCGAGGAGCAAGAATGAGCACCACGGGAGTTTAACAGTCTCACCAGGCTGCAGCAGATCCATTTATTTTTAGACTTCCGTGGCACAGCTGGAGCTGACAACTCCAGGAGTAGTAGTTCTGTCCAAGAAAAGTAGTGAGAGTGGTGCTCACAACCCATGCTATGAAAGCCATTAATAATAAAAAAATAGAGCACTGTAGGAAAAAAAAAATATTTAAGGGATTCTTTCAGGATGGCTTGTGTACTGTCAGATTGGATGCAGAGTAAAATGTATGAGCAAGTTTCACTAACAAGGTATAAAATGTTCAGAATGTCATGAGAGTAATATCCAACCTGCCATTTCCAAGGGGGGCTGAAGTAAGAGAAAAACAAAATGCAGATGTGCCTTTCCAATTTCTTTTTGCTGTATTAAGAGTCCCTGTGGTATTTTAAAGTGCGTTTTCTGCATATTTTTGCATTAAAAATATTAGGTTATCACATCCTTGTGTATGCTTAAAGACGAACAATTTAGGAGACTTCACAGGAGACTGAAATTTCTGTACTCTTAATAAATCATCTGGGAGGGAAAAAGAACTCTTTGTGTGTGAAAGAAAAAAGATCTTTATACTTTCATAAAAGGGAGAGGCGGTTCTCCATCTTCTTACCTATGAGATCCTAAATAAAACTGAGACTGCTATATCTCAAAGTTAAAATGATCATTCAAACCACTTCATTTTAATTGGGAAAACTACAGGTTTTTGCTGCATCTCCACAATCAGGCATAATATTACTTTCCTTCATTTTATCTTTTTAGCAATTTTCCTCTTTTACCTTTCTCCCTTATACCATTATCAAGTATTATATGAACACACTATAGAATAGAATTTGAAAATGGCCATAAGTATTCACATAAACATGTGAAAAAACAATAACAGAGATTCTAATTCAAATCACAGTCTAATTCTCCTTATCATGACTCTAATCCTGCTCTGTAAAATCTGCTTCATTAATGTTGTTAGAAAGTTAAAAGGCTTCTCTACAGGTTTTGCCTGCTGGATTCAGTTCTCTCATACACAGTAGTTAAGATGTGACCAATGTGTTAATAAAATATTGTCAAATAAAAATATTGCAATAAAAAATTGTCAAAATTTTGATTTTCATGGGACTTGTGGAATAAAAGGAATGTGTGAAACCGGAGACTGAGGCTACTGATTTCATAATTTCTGACTAGTAACAGATAAACTCCTAGTTTGCTGAGGCATACAAAACACAGAAATATCATTGAAACACAATGTGAGATTGATATGTATTCTTTGTAGTCTCTGATAAGAAGATATAAGATGAAAAAAATTAAGTTAGTTTAAAAAAAAAATTTATAAAGAAACATACTGATACCAAAGACATCTTAGAAATTAACTTAATATTTTCCTAAATTATATTTTTCAACATAATTTCAACTCAAATATCTAAAATACCTTTTTCTTTCTTAGACACTGAAACCTTTACAAACTACAAAATTTTATTATGATATAATTACATTATAAAAGCAGTGCCCAAAACCTGTATAATTTGTGGTTTGGTGTTCCTCCTCTTCTTGTTTTGAAACCAAGAAAGGAGGATTATGGGTCGATAAAAGTAGAAGTATATGGAAGAATATTTCATTGTGGTGAACTAATGTCAAGAACCATATTTTTCAGAAACACTACTTTTGTATGAAGGCCTTGCTAAAAGATTAAGAATCTTTTAGTATTCCTGATGTTTCATGTTTGTAATGAGCTGCAGCTGTTTTCCCACTGTAGCTTGTGTATTCTGTACTCCTATAAAATGAAAATAAGAGAAACATAATGTATTTTAATGCATATGTCTCTAATTGTTTTTCTTTTATAGAGATTTTTCTAGCTCATTGCTGTTACTGTGGTGTTTTACTACCTCTCAAGATTAAGAAAGAAGTCTACTACAGCATTTGCTATCAATATAGACTCTTCTCCCAGTTTGCCAGGAAAGAACATGTCATATACTTGTCTTTATGTGTCTGTCTCCCACAAATGCTAAATTTCTGTCCTTGAAACCAAAGTTTAAAAAAAAACAAACCCCAAAAATAGTGGGATTTCCTTCTTAACCTTACATTTGTAGATTCTGTTATTTTTCTTGGCTTTTCTAGATATTAATTCCAAAGGCAATATTACCTCGCTGAGTAAGCACAGCAGTCACCCTTGAGGTAAATTAGCTTCTACATCCACAGGAAGCAAGCAAGAAAAAATAAGATTCTCAAGAAAACCAGTGAGTTGATCAAAAGAAAACTACTTACATGGTGAGCTTAAACAAGGCCTAACAAATCAAGTTTCAGCATCAGTACAAAGTAATGAAACCAACATTCTGGTAGCACAGTAGCATTTTAATCAAGGTGTGCATGGAAACAGGTATTTCGGCCCAACAACAGCCATCAAGGTTTTCGGATTCATAGAAGAGAAAAAGTTGATTGGCAGAGAAAGAGGGAGGAGGAAAAAAGAGACAGAGGAAGAGACAGAGACAGAGGAAAAGACAGAGATCCCTGCTGATAGCAGGTTACTGACTTCTTCCAGATCATCCATGTGATGTGTGATGCTTCATGCTGCCTTAAACCTGCAAATGTTATTGTTGTTATAAAATGAGTGGCTTCTTAGAGTTGAATCTTTCTATATTCAATCTAAACTTCGTGATATTGTAGCTTTCTTGGAAAGACCATGGTGTTTGTAAACATTTTGAAGCTGAGAAAGAACACAGCTGATTGTGTTTCAACAGAGGCAAACTGGAGGACTTTGAGTAACAGCAGCATTGAAGGATCGAGAGCAATAAGTAAATGGAGTCAGGAAGAGGTTTATAAATTTTCTTTAGACTTCTGTCTTCCATATACTAGCTAAAGTGAAAACTGATCTATGTTGTATGGATAACTGACTCTATATTTTACAGAAAATATAGAACTAAGTCTGTGAAAAGAGGTTTCTTTCAGTTTTTCAGTATGCTTAGTTAATCTTCGTTACAGCTAGCAATAGTAAGGAAAGACAAGGTGGTGCTGGGCTTTGGAGAAGATAAAGAAAAAAGTACACTATCTCTTTCCAATAATTTAATTGCCTTTTCAAATATATCCTTTGTATCCTGTTATTTTGCATATGCCTGAACTTCCAAAATAGGCATAAATATGATTTGTTGAAATCAGTGATGTATACTTTTCTCAATAGGGTACTTGATTGGAAAAGATGTCTCTGAAAAGAGAGCTCTACTTTTTCCCATACAAAAAACCCCATAAGTCAGATCAATTTCTCTTTATTTCCATCTAGTACATAATGTAGTTGTTGGCCAAAATGAGCCAAAATTATAATTTCAGAGCATAAGTCCATTAACATATGTAGAAGTAAAGAACCCAGAATGTAGATGGACCTAACTGATGTATAAAAAAATTCCCATAATCTCTTCAGTTTTTGAGATTGTACCAATACCACAGGTGTTTTGATGGCAAACATTGCTGAGCTCTCTGGTTTTTTTATTATTCGTAGTCAGCATATTGTCAGTCAGAGCTTCCATGTCAGCCACCTTGGGAAGGAAGCAGCAGCAGATACACTGAAAAGACCCTTCTTTCTGGTAAGAAAAACTTTAGATCTGCTACTATTCCTTGCCATAAAATTTCTCTCTGTCTCTGAAACTAGAGAGAATGCTTGAGACCAACAGCAAATTTCAAAAAGTGACTGCTGGAGAAACACATCAACTGCTGGCTGTTCAGAGCGAACAGAATTGGAATAAAAAAGGTATGCAGTTGTATTTGTGGCAGCACTTGAGAAAGCATAGTATTAGTGAAATAAATAAATTAGTAAATAAACATTAAAAGAAAAAAAGCCCTTAATTGAAGAGAAATACAAACAGAGTATTAAAGCTGTCATTAGAAGACACCAGATATATCTGACAAAAGAAGGACTTGTGTTAGCAATCTCTTTTGGAGACCGGCTGCTAGGAATAGATGGATCACTGTCTCATCCAGTGTAACACTTCCTCTGTTCCTTTTTTAAATGCTATTTTTAAAACTAAGATAAACTGTATTTAAATGCAGGAAGTAGACCATGGAGAAACAACAGTCTGTTATAAGAGATTAACAAATTTCCTTTTTTTTTTTTTTTTTTTTTTTTTTTTTTTTTTTTTTTTTTTTTTTTTTTGTGTGAACATGTCTTTTCCTGTTCAAGAAGAGTTATTTTGGTGACCAAAATGCATTTAATCCCTTCCAAGCTGAATCTTGACTCTGCCTCAGTAAACATTAAAAACTGTAATTTATTATGATTTGTTGATGTCATCAGGACATTTTCCATAAAGGAGGAATAATTTTGTCAAATAAACAAGAAATGTGTTTTCCCTCAAGATGTAGGCTTATGCTACTGCTGTACTTCTGCTTGCTTCGGATAGTCTATATTTTCTATTTCAGTCTAAAGGTACTTTTGCTACTACCGTAGCTGCACAGGTCTTCTAACAGGCCTAGCAATCAAATTTCTTTTAGCTCCTCTGCAGGCAATGTCAGAAGAAAAATACTGGCCACTGAGGGTACTATAACTTCTTTGCATTTTGTCTATGTTGAGACACTTGTAATTGAATCAAAGGTGACATTGACTATTATGCATCATGATTTAGGATTCAGGTTATTGGTCAATTTATGATTCTTTGAAAGGGGAGCTCTGTAATGAAGTCACAATTAAAATCCAACTTCTTTTGTAAATCAGTAGGAATTACATATCCAAATGTCTTCTGTGCCTTTGAAAATCTCTTCATAAGTTTATAAATTTGATCACAACAGTCCCTTCTGGCCCTCTAATCTATGAATCTCTTAAACTTCCTACCATGGGAATTAAACTAATTTTCAGCTCATAGATTGGTTATGCTGAGATCCACTTCATTTACTTACTGATGGGATTTATTTTTCCCTGTTTTATGCTGAAGGAAATATAAAACCCTCTTATAATTCATGGTAGTTGTTGCTAAATTTGTTTGCCAGTTTATTTTGGGAGGTAGATGACCATTTCTATACGTGTTGTTTAAAGCAAACAACATGGTTTAAAATAAATAGTTACTGTTTTTATTATGTGTTTTCAATATTATTTCAACATGTAATCAGCAAAAAGAGAAAGTAAGCACACTGCAGGGCTAGAAGAGAAACCTCACTTATATTTTCCTTCCCCAGTGATGCATGGATGAGAAGACATTATGGATTCATACACGATTTCTATATCCCAGGAGAACTGCAAAGTGACTTTCTTCTTTCTCTGTAAGTCTTTCTCATGAAACAACAATGTGAGACAAAGAACGGGTAAGTCAAAATTTTTATGTACCTCTCTTCCTTTGTCCTTTAAAAGAACCTTGAAAAATATTAGATTTTTTTTCCTATAAGCTTAGGGTCCCCATGAAGAATGAATCTTGCTTCTCAACGTAACAGAAAACTGTTTTCCAACAGCATGTGGTGGACTAACAAAACTAATCCCTGAAAACCCTGCAATTCACATATGTTCGGCTCACCCCCATTGTTGCAATATTACAAGACATGGTGATGAAAAGAAGTTGGATGTATCTGAAATATAAGCAGTTGCTTATTTGTTTTTAATTCCTAACTCTGCTTCTTTCTAACCCTTCTTGCTTTGAACATTTGTACATCATGAGAATAACTCTGAGTTCATCCATTTAGTGAGGTTACCATCCTCTTATTGATAATCACTTCTTGCTCCAAATTAATCTTCGCAGGAATCTTTACAATTCACAAGAATATATTTTTACTGATTAAAAAAAAAAAAAGCTTTACTGTGTTTTGGAAACCTGTTTCCCTGTAAATATAAACATCAGTAAGTCCATTAGGAGACATTTCAATGTTTTCAGAATTTCACTGTTATAAAAATTTCAGTGTAAACTCCTTTGCATCTTGTTTGTCAGCTGCATACTTTTATAATATATTGAGAGGCAACTGGACTGACAGAAGGTAGAGAGTTTTCTTTAGCATCAACCATAATAATCATGGGACCAAAATCTAGACTAGCCTTCATTCTGCTCTGCCTAGAAAGATCTGGCAACACTCTTAGTTCCAGCTACTTGGGAAGGCACTACAGGCCCAGTTCAGTTGCCTAAACAAAACTCTATAGGGCCAGCTGAGACACCTTATAGTGCCTTACTTGCCCTCCAGCAGGCACAGGCTTTGAGTGTCGTGTATTCTGCCTTTGCATGAGCTCTCAGACATTCTGGTTGTTTCAGTGGAACCAATCACCTCTGTGTCAGCAGCTGAAATAAGGATTTTGTTCCAGGCTGTGTCTAAGACTGCTCAGCTGCCTAGTAGCTTGGTGTTCATCTCCCATTATGGAAATTATTCAGTACAGTCAGTGGAGAACAAGTCATCTCATGCTAAAGTTGTCACCTTCATTTCCACTCACCATGTTAAAGTCCAAGAAGTCAGGAAAATAAAGAAAGATGATTTAGAGGCAGGCAAAAACAAATTAATTTTTTTAAAGTAAAAATCATAGAAAAAAATTATAAATTAATTTCCATGAAAAATAAAATTGAGACCTGCTAGTATATCTTCCTTCAGCTCTTCAATTTCCTGGTTTTTTTTAGCTGAGGCATTGCTACTTAAAAGGAAGCCTGGTTGAATGACAAGTTCACAGAATCTTAGAATGCTTAAGTCATGTTAGAAAAAGTATATAAAAATTAAATTGTTTTTCATCTTCCCCATCACTTATATGTAACTCCCAAGTAAAGAATTACTTTGGGTACAATTCAGTGGCCTTAACAAAGCATGTGGTTCTGTTTCAGGTTTTCTGTATCTCATACATTCATGTGGGGCTGACAGATCTGACACAGTGGGGTTCAGCCTTTGTTCTGGAGTGACAGATGATCTGGTGCATTGTGAAAGCATACCAAAAGTGATATTGTTTAACTCCAGTTAGGCAACCAAATCACACCTTTTTAGGATGGAGATAATGTGTGAAGTCAGGAGAAAAACTTTCACTGATTTCCATGAAAGAGGATTTTTTTTTGTCATAACCCTGTGGTTATGATAGCTGCAAAATATTAATGATAACCTCCTATCAGAAGTCTGGAAGAGCATAATTGATATGGAACTTTTCCTCTTCCAAATATTAGCAACACAAGACATTTTGCTGACTTTTAAGAAAGTTGAAGAAGGACATACATGTCAGTCTTAAGAATATCTGTTACCTGTGAAAAACATAATTGAGATTTATTAAGATCCTTGTGTACTCACAAAAGATGTGCTATAAACTCTGCTTGCATGACAAAAGCAATCACGTTTACCTGCATAAAAATATAGTGGCATCTGTATTGGTTCAAGTTTGATTAGTTGTCTTAGGAAGTTTTCTATTTCAATAATTTTCCTGTGGTAAAACAGTTGCTAGTAAAATCACATCATTATTTAAGCAGAGCTCTCTTTTTGATAATTTGAACACTAATTAAACTCACTACTTGAATTATAAAACTTTCTTAAGAAATGGCACGCTTAAGAATGACTGCCCATGAATGTAATTGTTTTTGTGAATTGTTCAATTTTTTTTGCATGACAGCTTGGCAAAAGGAATTCATGCTACCACACCACAATTTATTTTGCTTTGATATGATAGGAGTTTGAGCATGATTTTGCTTATATGAAGTGACATTTGATTCAGTCTGCCCTGAAATGGTCCAGCAGCACTCCAGTTAAAAGTTAATATATATGACAATTTCAAGTGGATTGCTTGATACTAGTAAGTATTTTGTCATACTAGAACTTATCCTGATGGAAAAGCTGGGAAATGTGTCACAAAAAGAACAATGCTGAAGTAGATTGTTTGCTTCCTTAAAAAGTAAAGAGGCATCACATTGCTGTCTGCCAATAAGCTATGCATTTCTTTTAAGGAATTACTCTGCTAATAAAATGGCAATCAGTTCTGAGAATTAATTTCAACATAGGCATTAGGAAGTCCTAGAAACCTTTTAACGTTCCGAGGAAAACATCACTGAGGCAACTACCAAAGAAGTATACTGCAGTGGTTAGGATGGCATCAAATAAAAGAGAAGGGTGAAAAGAGAAAACACATGAACTTTCAGTACAGAATTGTGATGCTGAGAACAAAATTAATCAAGACACCAAAGGACGATGAGAGAAGAAATTCTTTAATCTTTAATTGCCTATACACCAGTGATAGGAGCTTGGGTAATAAACAAGCATAATTGGAATTGCTTATTTATGAGCATAAACACAACCTCATTGGTATAACAGAAACCTGAGGGGATGGTTCACATGACTAGAATTTTAAAATCACCATTTATGCATCTTTTAGGAAATATCATTTAGGCAAAATAGTAAGGGGAGGAGCATTTTTTCTTATAAAACCCCAAAAGACAGTTCTATCATTTTTTGAGTTAGAAATAACTTTGGGAGGAAAAAAAGGAAGAATGGTATCCAGTGTTTATATTAGTAAACTTGGGAAAAAGTAGCATCTACAAATCCATGCTCCTAGTCAGTTATGCAGATAGAGCAAATTTACAAACTCCAGGTTGTCAAATTACACTGTAAAATGGATAGCTGGATCATTAACTACTTATAAAATTCAGGAAAAATTAAAAATCTGAAATGGTTCTCTGTGGTCTGGTTAGTTCATACTTCATGGCATAAAGCAGAAACCAAGACTACCATTGATAAAATACCTCTGCAATTTCTTGTTATTATGTAAGTCAATTCTCAAATGTCCTCTCAAAAGTCTTGATGATAAAAAAGAAAGGAATCAGGGAAGTGCCACTGGTCTGCATAAACACAGCTAAAGGCCACTGCAAAGCAAAAAGCTCCTGATAATAAGGTTATTTATCTTACAAAGTGAAAGATTAAGAATGACTCTATGATGGCTTATTAAAAAATTTTAAAAAAAGACATTAAAAGAGAGCTTATCAACACATAAGGAGAGTTTATGTTCCAGTGTTCAGTGCTTGTTTTGGGTAAAATATGTTTAATCTACACTGTGTGTAGTTAGTTCCTGGAAGAGCTTAGCACAGAACCCTCTAGGTTTTTTTTGCCACTGGAAGGAAGACTGTGACCCCAGAAGTGGAGCAGCTGGGAAACTACTGTGTTACATTTCATGCACTTTGTCATGGTGCCATGACAACATTGGTCTTTGCTGTCTCTGATTTGTAATTTTTTTCTCTTTGTCAGAAGCATTTCTCTTAGAAAAGCAAACCACACCAAATGCTATTGAGTATTGGCTGCATAATGAAGATAATCTCTGGATAGTTTTAACTAGGGTACAAAGCAATGGGTGTGATGTAGTTTGATAAGGAAGATAGTAAAGTCCTCACCCATCTGCTTGAATATTAGGTAACAAATTCTATCAATCAGCATTATCTATGTTATACAGAATTCATACTTTTTCTATATGAGGCAAAATTTTTGTCACCTGCTGTAAATTTTAGAGTGACAAGAGGGTAATGAGACAAAGTGCCAAGCTGAAAATCAAATTGCTGTACATTGTGTAAAGTGCCTGCAAACTGTTACTGCTCAAAGACTTTCATGAGTTTAAACCAATTGTATCCTTAAGCTGTAGTATTTAAATACCAGAGCCTCAATTCAGGGTGAGTAAGCTTGTCTGGGCTGTACATCTCTTAACACACACAAAAAAAGTCTTCTAGGTCATATTATGGTTGGGAAATTTTTTTTTTCTGCAGTCATGTCTTTAGAAAGAAAACTCTTGAGATATTTCTCGTTATTTAAATTATTTTTTTTTCTCCTGCGATTATAAAATCTTCTGGGTATATAAAATGATAATGGTAGTGTAGTAAAAGGGATTATAACTCCTCAGAACTGCTCATATACATTAGAAATAATATGAAATGTAATAAAGAATAATTAGCAACTAGACATGAAGGTTCTGTCTGATTGATCTGATAACCTAGCTATAGACACAAGGAAATGTGTCTCAGTATCTGAATATATGTGGGAGGCAGAAAACCTTCTAAACCTAAAAAAGTTTAATTCTAAATGATTTTAAAATTTAGCACACATTAAGATAAAATCTTAATCATACCGTTTTTTAACAAAACATTCATTCTAGATCCTCTAGATGTGACTCTTAAATTTGACCAGTATAAAATTCCTTTATTTACCCAAATTATTTCATTGTGTCTAATTGAGGTTCCTTCCTGGGTGTGATATTAGACTGCAGATTGCAGGAAA